GGAATAGTTTTCAGTGGGACTAGTGTCTCAAATTAATCAATTGATATTCATTTGGATTGTGGTATTTTATAGTTATTTGATTTATGATACTGTATGTGGTGTTTAATCATGCTTGAGAACTTTGTCTTTGTTGAATATTTTCTCAGCGTCACACACGCTCATCACTACTTACACTGGAGTAAATGGACAGACGGTTGCAGGAATCCCAGAGTTTTCTTCTGTAACTGTATTTGATGGACAGCAGATTGATTATTATGACAGTGAGATAAAGAAGCTGATTACCAAACAGGACTGGATGAAGGAGTTTGCAGCTACAGAAACATGGAAAAAATACACAGAGATCAGAGAACGATTCCAGCAGACCAACAAAATCAACATTCGTTTTCTGATGAAGCAATTGAATCACTCGCATGGTGAGTTAAAATACTTTATACTACAGTTTTAAATGTGAAAGATTACGTTATACAGTAAAAAAAAAAAAAAAATGCTTTATGGTTCCCACTTTTCTTCCTCAGGTGTTAGGTATCAGAGGATGCATGGATGTGGTTGGGATTATATGACTGGACACATACATGGGTTTGATGAGTACAGTTATGATGGAGAGGATTTCATCTCATTAGACCTCGAGGAGCTCAGATACACTGCATCTGTACCAGAAGCAATACCCACAGAGCAGAAGTGGAACAAAGACAGAGAACAACTTGTCTATCTAAAACAATACTATAGAGATAAGTGCACTGACTGGATATATTTCTTGATGTCAAGGAAAGGGGATTTTGAGAGAAGAGGTAGCTTGTTTTTGAGAACGTCATTTTGTCCAACAAGTAGATGTTTTTTAATTATTATAATAGGTCATTAATGTCTCATTCTTTTCTCATGGATTGCTTCATTAAACAAAAACTTTTTAAATCAAATATCTATATTTTATTTGATTTTAGCTTTTTTTCCAATTAACAATTTTATCTTGTTAATGACCCTGGACCTAACTAATTAATAACTTGTTATTATCAGTATTGATAATTATTTCATCAGTAAGTTGTTTCAACCTTATTTTGCTGTTTCTGTGTATTATTGTATTTTTATTTATTTATTTATTAAGTGTGTTTTTATTTTATTTTATATTTAAGGACCTACAAAAACATACTTCAAAATACTTGTGGATGTGATATTCGTACTGATAGTCATCCTCGTAGTCCTCATTGTCCTGTATATTGGTACTGCATTCCTTGTTTGGAAAGTAAGTATATGTTTACATCTCTTTTTTCTGCTCTTATTTCTCATTCAAGTGGTTTTATCAGCTGTAGGATGATGGTAATGTCCTCAGCGATTACTCAAGCTTTCGAACATTTGGATTTACACACATTTTAATGTGTTTGATTATAATTCCAGTAAGGTGGAATTATATAGAGCCAATGCTTCACTATTTTAGAAGATCACTATTATTTTTTAAATACTGTACATTATGCACAGCCTCATCTTCAACAGCCATCACTTCAGTTAAATTCACATGTGATAAACTTTTGAATGCTAGTGTAAACTGACTCCAAAACATCTTCAAATGTCAAGAAATATATTTACAAGCTATATTTACAAAAACAGTCAAAGCCAAATGTTTGTCTTAAAGCAACATTACGCTTAAAGACATTTGCAGGATTTGCTGTTTTTATAATTCCAGTTAAGTGTGTAATTGCAAAAATCTGAGATTTGGAATTGGTCGCATGCTGTTTCAGTGGTCATACAAATCGTGTAATTAAAAATATCCTAATTTAATTGATATTTATGACATTTCTTTGCAGATGAAAAGTGGGTATCAGCCAGTTTCACTCTTTGAAAGCGAGATTTACATCAACAAAGGTCTTTGAAGGGTTTTCTCCAATCACCTGCACTTTCCCCAGATTCCAGTCCAATCAGGAATCTTCAGGATGTGGGAGATCTGATGATTTCCAGCATGCATGTGTGACTAAAACATGTCTAATAGTTGAATAATACAACTAACAGGGAACGTTCTCGTAACATTTTCTAAAGTTTCTCTCAAAGTTATCAAAAACGTTCTTGCTGCCATTGATAAACGTTCTAAAAACGTTAGCATAAAAATGATATCCTTGCATTGTTAGTGGAACATTTTAAAAACGTTATTAAAAATTTGTCTTGACAAAAAAAGTCATAATTTGCATAGGAACAATTTGTGTATCCAATGACACAAAGAATGAAACATTCCAGTGGCTTTTTCCCCCCCTGGACTGAGAGAGAAAAAATTATTATAGAACTAATCGTTCTTAAAGATGTTTTGCAAACAAATGTTTAATAACGTTAATAGAACTTTCCTTAAACGTTATTTAGGGCCTATGTAGAAAGTTAAAATGTTCTCAAAACATTACAACTGTTAAGTGTACAGATATCTTGTTTTAAATAGTATTTCAAATACTTAACACGTTTATATCATTGAGTTTCATCAATGAATTTAATGAAATGCAATTCAAATCTTTACATTTTTGATTAAAATGAAAACCTTACAATGCGCTTAAAAGTCAGAAGGCTATTTATTTATTTTCAACTTTTTTTTTGTTGACATTTGCAATGTGAAGGAAAAAATACACTTAGAATGCAAAGTGTATACATTATTTGACCTGTTTTCCCAAACAAGATGAACACATGATCAAACAAACACATAACGAACACTTTCTGACATCTGTGTGGCGTTGCGTCTATAAAAACACACTGGAGACACATGGATGTGTAAGTGCAAATGCAAATCATCTAAAGAGCATCCAGATACTGTCTAGATATTAAACTTGTGCTAATATCAGGTGTGATGGGCACCTTACATGTACTAGCCTACTGTTTGTGATCTTGTCTTTCACCACTCACATTTGTATATATTTTAAATTAAAAGAACCTTTTTTGTAAATATACAGTTCACTGAATAATAATAGGTTTGACGGCTAGCTTTTGTGAGTTTCAAATGGAAAAAAATAAATAAACGGAAACATTTAATAACACATGCAGTTCTCTGTTTTTTCTTCAATAAAACTTGTACATAAGAAAATATAAAACTTAAATTTTTAAAAGTAAATATTTTAAAAGTATGCTTTTCATGGGTGATAAAAATAATATTGTTTGGATTAGCTATATTTATTTGCTTAGTGTGTATTTGTGTTTTGGATCTGCTGTTTTCCGGATTATAAATGTTTTATAATCTGAAATTTTATCATCGCACATTTGGATCGATGCATTGCCACACTTTCGCTTTATGTATTCGTTTTGGCTTGGAGTTTATAATAAATGTTGTTTATAATGAATGACACTATAATTTCTGTTTGTTTTATACATATATTTTCCGTTCCTTTTTTTTCTATTTATATGTTTTCTCTTTATTATATATGCTTATTTTATGCTCATAAAAAGAACAAAAAATCAAACAAAGTAGAGATGGTGCAAGAATAGAACTGCCATGTATACTTCCACGTACAAGTAGGCTATAATACAGTACAATATAGAATTTCTAAAAATCAAAGCTTCATTTGTTATGCGTATACTATACTCACTTATAGTATATTAAAAGGTAGCCCTCGAGGTAGCCCTCGAGTCAAAAAAGTTTGCCCACCCCTGGTCTAGTGCGTCACCGCAGCTTAGTGTTGCCAGATGTATGATAATTATCGTATTTGTACTATAATTTTGACCTCTGTACGATCAATAATGAAAAAAAATCCTATAATGCACGATAATTTCAGAACGTGTTTTTTTCCAAAGTCAACCTCATCAAAACAAAGCCATGAAATCGGCTCATTACAGATGCTCTAAATGGGTTGGTGCACACCTCAGGACCCTCAACATCTGGCAACACGCAGGATTCTGATGACAGCGACTCAGAGGTGGAGTTTGGACCTTCCCACAAGGTACACCTATTCTTACATGTTTTAATTTTAATTGTAAATCCCCTTTGTTCGCCAAAAAATAAAATGTGTTTAATTTTCATTAATTAAAAGATAAATTAAATCAATGTGTTATGCCTTCATTCAATAACCAGAAAAATGAAAATACACAATGCAGAATTTCTAAATAAAAAAATAAATAAAAGTAGTTTTTATGCATTCAAATAATTAGGCATATTAAAACACAGAATTTGGTAACAATAAACAAGGTGAAAAAAATAGAACATTTCATAAGACCCTAAACATGTAATTTTTAATAGATTTGATGTTGAATTGTATACGTTTCATTATTTAATTAGACATGCTTTTGATTAATAAAACTTATTTTAACCATTTAAAAAGGAGTCCAGAAAAATGTAAATGAAAAAAAAAAGAAGAATCCAAAAAAAATTACATTTGAAATTAAAAAAAGAATGGAATTTGGGAAAAAAATAAAGCGTATTTCATAGGGCCCTAGCATAGTTATTTATTTATTGTGGTAATTTGAAGGTTGTGTCAAAAAGTTGTTGTTCTAGTCTAGTAGATAAATAGCTGTATTCTGTACGTTTTTACTCGTATACGATAATTTTCTTCCAAATACGATAATTTTGAGCTTCTGGTACGATACTTGGACATTTCCAATCTGGCAACACTGAATAGGGGAGACAGACAACACACACAGCTTTGCGTTCTGACGGTTTCATTTCACACACTTTACACTCACTTAGTGAATGAATCGCGTTTGTGCCGAACTCTTATTACAAAGCAAAAACAAACACTCTCCTTCGATC